GTATATGATATCGATTCAAAACATTTTCTATTTTCTATGTTTATATTTTCAAAATCCGCTGTTTTGAATCTTAAGGCAACTATAACTTCTCTAATTTTTTTAATGAGATTTTCAATTTTATTAACTTTTTTTATTCCATCGACTGTCACTAGATTATGTAATCCATGCCCCAAACATAAATGATGGTCATATTCTCCTAGACGAACACTTTTCTTTACATTGGGTCCTGCATCCGTAACCATTTGAATTTTCTTGGACCCTAAATCAAATTCATTTTCAACTTTTTCTATTTCGGAAAGAATAGTTTCAGCGGTATGTTTTTGGGTGACATGATGTGACGCCAATGTATAATACAATATTAAAATTATTATCTAATTCATGAAAAGTAAAGGTGATATAATTTCGCCGTCTATATTTGTCTGTCCACATATCAAAAGTTATAGCACAAAATTTAGGACCTACATTAATTTGTTGGCATATGTATGCTTTCATTGATAAATAAACATCATCTAATCCACTCCGGCCTACATTAATTTGTTGGCATATGTATGCTTTCATTGATAAATAAACATCATCTAATCCACTCCGGCTAAGTGTAGTTCTGTCAGGTAATTCTTTGGCATCTGAAATAATGCCATATTTCTACATAATAAAAAGTTAATAATAAAATATTTTGCCATAAAAAATTCTAAATGTGGGATGTTATAAAATAATTAAATATCTTAACAAATAAAAATTAAGATTGCCCTATAAAAAATTATAATGATTTTACAAATAACCTTTAGAAAATCTTGCATTCCAGTATTATTTATAGAAGAGAATGGCATTAAATCCTTGCAACACATGAGAACATAATTCCTTACCAGAATCCATTTTTTATCTTTTATAGGGTCAGTTGTATCTTTTACAATGGGTTTGAAAAATAACTTTAAATTTTGTTTAGATATTTCTTCTTTACATGATAAATCATGTTTGTCAAGTAAATGTTTTATTATATTTGATGTGCTGATATTTTTTGAAAAAGATTTGATTGGATAACTAATTAAAAAATTTACTAATATTTATAAAATAATCAAAAAATTTACTCTGAAAATGAAGAATTATTTTCATCCTCACCATCTTTATCAAGTGCTATTTGCAAGCATATATTACAAAAGACTTTATCTGTAGCAACACTGGTTCTCTTATTATTTGTATCAGTTTTTAATATTATGGATCCAAAATTTTTCCATGCAAAAGAAGGTTTTGCTTGCAAGGATATACTATATATTGTTACAGGGTATTGCAATGCTGCATCCATTATAATTGTTTTAGTCCTGGTATTTTTATATATGTTGTAATAGCAACAAAATAAAAATCATTAAATAAAATTTCTATTATGATAAAAAATAAATTTTATATAACGAGTTGTAAATTATTTGAATCAAAATAAAAGAATAAAATATAGATTTACCTTTTCAAATTTAATGTCCTAATCTTATTTTATCTAGCACGTTGGTCACAAACCTGCCCAAAGTGAGCGAATAAGGATTGTCACAAATCAAATTTATAGCAAATAATATTTATTAATTTTAAAAAATAAAATCGCATTTTTTAATAATTCAAAAAATATTTAATATTTTTCTTATATTCATAAATAATATATAAAATAAATAATAAAAAATATGTATCACGCCGCCACGCCGCCGAATTTTTACATCGGCGGCGGCGTGTTGAGCGCAGACAATTTTTTGGCGCGCGGCGTCGGCGTGGTCAAAATCATCGGCGGCCGCGCATTTGACCGGCGGCGCACATGTCTAAATATATTGATTTTTATTTTCTCGCATAATGTAAATTTTTATATGTAAAGGAGAAAAAACTTAATAAAGATTTTAGTTTGGAATATATATTTTTTTAAGGGTTCTACAAAAGTTAAAAGACATTTTTGTTTTTGTAAATTTATATAAAATCATAAATATTTTCACATGAATATAAATTTTTAAAAAATCCGAATGAAAATAAAATATTTATTGCAACTTGTGTTTTAACTAATTATTTGTCTAAATTTTTGATTCTATGAAAGAGAAATATCCCCATACGTTTGATGCGGAGGACTCAATCGATAGCAATGGTAAAAATTACTCAATTATTTGTTAATAAATTAGACTTAACCATTATTGATCATATTCCTGGCAATTCTCTGCTCCTTACCGACAAGGATTTATTCTACATGAAATGTTAAAGAGTCAGATTGCAACGGAAAAAATTATACACTGTATTTTATAAAAAAAATGACATTAGATTTAACAATTATTGTGCATTTTCTTGCTCTTTTGTCTCAAGTTGAAGGACATAAGGAAAGAGGTAAGATATATATAAATGATATTTGTCATATAATTATTAGATATTAAAATATTGTATTCTAATACATTATAATAGTCCTGTATAGGGCTTAATACTTTTTATTTACCAATAAATTCCTTTTAAACTATTCACAAAAATCCAAAGTATGTTATAAAATAATAAAAATTAATAAATTTATACTAGGTCAGGCTGGAAAAATATTAACTTCCTGCATAGGTCTGTGAAGTGAATTTAAAATATTAATACTTTTTATATACGAAAAAATTCCTTTTAAACTTTTCACAAAAATCCAAAGTATGCCATAGAATAATAAAACCTAACAAATTTATACTGGGTCAGGCTGGAAAAATATTCCATTTTAAAAGTAAGGTTTTCTAAAAATTAGGCTGAGTCGAGGGCGATCTATTTTTATATAAAAAATCATTAAAAGCTAAATTTTAATATAATTAAATATCGATAGCGATTTTCCTTAATATTAAGGAGTAGATTATATATTTAACGATTAGGGAAAGAAGGGTAAAATATTTATTTATACGTTCACAGATAAGTAATTGTTTTCCAATGAGAAAAATTATCATTGCTACTAAAATCGCAAAGGTTTCAAACAAAGATTCGCACTTTCAAATTGTTCATAATATTACAAATAGTCCTCGTTTAAAAAATGTTGGCCATAAAATTACACGGAAAAATAGTTGTTACCAATAATATTGGGAATAGTATTTCTAATATTTTAAAAAGGGCCTCTTCCTTTATTTCACATTTAAATGATCGTCGTGGGCGACGAAACATAATTTATTCTCAAATAATTGGACAAAATAACTTTATCTTAGGTGATCACGTGTTTTTATCTATCCATAGGACAGATAGATGGGAAAGTATTAAAAATTGAACAAAATAAAATATGTAGGAACTGTCGAACACGTGTATTGAAATTAATTATAAATTTAAAGAAATTTGAATATAAATTGTGTAAAGATAAAATGTTTAAAATGTTAAGTTAATCGAAAGGTTAAATTTAAGAAAATTAAGGGACAAATAAAATAATATCGATGGTATGTAAATTTTAGTAGTATAAATATAGAGATAAAAAATGTAATATTAAGAAGAAAAAGAAAGGGAAACCTTTTTTATATAAATATTAGTTTGACTTTGATTTTATATTTTTTAGTATGATTTTATATTTTTACTTTATTTATGTTTTATTTTAGATTTTGATTATATTTAATAAATTGGCATCTTCAATTCATGTTCATATATTAAATTTTCAACTTCTAACAGGAACGTGTGCTGGAAGAATTTCAACACCATTCATTGTCTATAGTCTGTAAAACTATGGAATTAAATGATTTTGAAGTTCCCAACAAAGATATTAAAAAAAATTATATTTATCAAAATGGCGATTATTTTATCGTTGAGAAGTCGAATCTAGGTTAATATAATTCTTTCACTCCCACAAGGAAGTAAAAAAATAGGCAACAATAATATTCTCACTAGCATGCTAGCTCTCTTTAAACATATCTCTTTTTTAATAGAATATATTCCTTTATTAAAAAAATAAAATACGGGTATCATCTATCTAGCACCACCACTAATGATGCAAACATTCATGATTTAATTGTTGACAAGTTAACCGCTGTTTTCTTATGAAATTATATATTTTATTTCAAAGTATGTAGATTTATTTTGGTGTAAACAAAATGAAGGCCTCTTTAACGTTTTATTTTTTTTAAAAAAAAATCATGGTCCTTTCTATGGTATAAAATTCGGTATTAGGAGTAAATAGAATAATTAAATTCTATACGAATAATTTATTCAAATAATCAAGTTAGATATTCGGGAATATATGTCTTATTGAATTACTCTTAATCAGGGATGTGCCGATGTTAGATATAAGATCCGATATTTTCATCTCTATTTTTTTTATCAAATTCATAATTTCATAATAAAAATAAATGAATAAAGGCAAACCAATATTCAATTTATTTGAAATATTTTAAAATAGATAGAATTATTTCAAAAGATAGAGTTAACTAAAAATTAGATTTTTTTTTGTCATATTGTCTGTAACAAGAAAAATAATTATATTAACGAGCTATATTCAGCTAGTGTTGCCAAAAAGCTTGATTTAGCCGTACTCAAGATTTTAGTCAAGTAAATTGACCAAGCTTGGAGATTTTGCCCAGATGGCAAAGAGGTTTGATCATCTTATTGGTGAAATTTCGAAGGAAATAATAATATATTGACTAAAATCTCTATTTTACCGTTTATAAAAATCATGTAAATCGAGCCGTTTATTACAATACTACATTTAGCCATAAACATTGCCCATATTTTATTTGAGATGATTAGCTTTTGGGGAATAAAAAGTAATTGATGATAAATATAAATAAATATTTGATAGGTATAGTTATAGGATTGGTATTAAAATTTGTGGATAGACAAGGTCACTACCCTTAATTTAGTAGCAACTACTAAATAGATGCAAGAGGTTTAAAACAAACAAATAAATCTTTGAGCAATTTATTAGTCAATCAAACAAACTATATTCGCCGAAACTATTGTTATTTCTTGTGGTATTATAATGATATACATAGAATTAATTCTTAAACAATGTACTAAATGGCGCGACAATATAAAAATTTCTTTTATCACTGGGAAAGGGATGGGGTTATTATAAATATAATATTTTATAAATATCACTGGTGGAATTAAATGAAGCTAAAATATATCTCAAAAATTGTATGTGAAGATTAACCCGTTTTTATAAATATGAATTTGTTTCTAATTCAATCAATTTAATTTAGGGTTAAATATAATAAAAACATTTTTTTTTACATAAAAAAAAGTAATTTTGTTTTAATAAAATAAGAAAATTAATATATTTTAAAAAATCTCTTTTTTTACACTATACGTATGCGTTTGTTATGAACGCTTAAACTGTTGAATGCCTCCCCGCCACTCGGTATCTCAAACCGGTTCCAATTTCGCGTTTCGGGGGTCAGGATGGCATCGCGTCGCAAATTTAAAATGGCGTTAAATTCGTCTTTGAACTCCTTTATCAGCGATTTTCTGAGTATTTTGCATTCCTCGATGTCCTTCTGAATGGTTTCGAGCATTTGCACGCATTCCACATTTATACAAGATTTCTCCACTACACCTAATTTATTAATTGATAATAAGAAAAATGAAGAGGTTATTATGATTTACCCATATGAACCTAAACAAAAGCCATTAACCCAACTACCGTCATATCATTTCAAGAATTTACCGCTAGAAATGGCAGGAGGATTTATTTGGTAGACGACATCGCTTACTTCTTTGCCCTTAATTGACGAGAGGTAAATGCCGGCCAAATTGGATAAATTGTCAAAAACGTGAACCGAGAACAGAATTTGCCTAGCCCAACGTTCCAGAGAAAGTAATCTTACTCCCGTGAGGGAATATATGGACTGCTTATCCAACTGGTCAACCTGAATTCCTCCTTCAACCCCGTCGTCCTTCAAACTATTCTTAATATCTGTGGCGCCAGTATCTTCTTGGAGTTGATCTCGATCCTTTTCTCCAAGCTCGCTTTCGTGAGATTCCGGAGGGGTAGGGGGTAGCTTAATATGGCTCGCGATTACTTCTTCACTAGAGTTATCTCTTTCATCTCTAGAGATCAGGTCACCATGATCGCTCGGGATATTTTCTACTACACTAGCTTTAGCTGTCTCATTTTTAGGGATCTGGTCACTATCGTCATCGTTATTTTCCAGCTTGCGCTTGCCACTCGTAGTGCTAATAAATCGCGTTTTAATTTGATTATTACGTATAAAACACAATTTTTGTCGCTTTATCACATTATAGGGTTACACCTACACTTGGATCAATTTTAAACAAAAACCATGCTATTTAATTTTGACAAAATTATTATTGAGCTATATGTTTCCCTTGTTAGGGAGATATTAATATGATATATACAAAACATACTTGACAAGGCTTCAAAATTAGTTATTCACATGTCAGACAGTTTAACTAAAAGTTATCATTTATTTTAGATGTGAATGGTTGAAGGATATAGACATCTAGCTGTTATAATTTAGATGGTTAAATTAAGTAAGACTAAAGATATAAAGAAAAGGCACAAAATTAACGGGGTAAGAAAAAAACACCTTGGGTAAAATGCTTTCCCTTTAATTTTAGAATATATTTGGATATAATTGAGCTTGAAGTGTCATTTAAATTTCTTTATGTAGCATAATGGTAGGCCTTCAAAGTTATATAATGGTGAATATTGTTTACAAAAATTTAAATATAAAAAACCCGGAAATGATTATAAAATCAAATCAGCAGCTTTTTAAAATATATAACTATAAATGTGCAAAATTTCAAGTTGAGCCGATACAAGGTTTAGTATGGCATTTTAATCATTAATTAATTGCAAAAATTCGTAATAAATAATTAATTATAATATATTCAAAGCTAAACTCTTTTAAATATTTTCTTATTTTATGTATTTAAAAAAAAGATTAAATAATGAGGGAAGAGAGGCTATTTAATTTATGTCAGAGACCTGCAGGCCCCGGTAATATATTTTAAAACCAAATATTTGAAACCGTCATTATTGGATATAAAAATTAAAAATAAATATAATATATTTTAAAAAGATCCAGACTGGGCATGAAAATTTTTTTTTATAAAAAAACCGGGCCGGGTCTGAAAATATAAAACCCAGGATGGGCCGAAAAAATTTTTGAAAACCAGGCCCTGCAAATGGTACCTCTGCAGGTCTCTGATTTATATAATATATTTACTTCATTTCTAAAATTTAGTAATTTTTGTTTTAAAATAGTCATTCTTTCAATTTAAATAAATATATACGTTGTGAAGGCCTAAGAAATTTAATTCCTTGGATGACGAGCCAAAATAAATCGCTAACGATAAAATTTTCATTATCTGAACTTAATTATAAAGACAGTGAAGGTCGAAGTAAAAAAAACATTTATAAAATTTTACCTATTCACTAAAATTAATTGCAATATATAAAAGATGACAAATCTGTAAAAAATATCCTGATCAAAAGGTCACCCATGCTCAGAATTCAAAAGTTCCATTCTTCTATGCCATTAAGGTTAAAATTATTTTCATATTGTGGAAAAATAGATTTGTATTCTTTTATTAATTTTTATGAGGAGAGAAATTCAATTAAACAAAATAAAATAAATTAACCAAAGCCCCCCCCCCTTCCTTCAAAAAAAATACAACAAACTTTTTCAGATCTTAAATAACTATTCTCTCAAATATTACATAAAATATTTGATAGATTTTGACTTTTATTAACATTATTGATTAAAATCAAATATTAAGAATATTTGCAAACTTGAACTAGGCCAAATTGACGATTTGAATTATTAATTAATCCTATATCCATGCATAAAATAAAATACTGATTTGATTTTACGATCATTTCCGGTTCTTGATCTATAAATTCTTTTAAAACAATATTTAACATTATATAACTTTAAAGGCCTACCATTAGGGTATTTAAAGAAATTTAAATGGCACATCGCTCAATTATATCTAAAGATATTTAAAATTAAATGGAGTGCATTTTTCCCAAAATACTCCATTTTTCGACATTTAGAGGCACATATTTCAGTGGCCGCTTGGAGTTGGGGGATAAAAGTGTAATAGAATCAATTAAACCTTGAAAATTAAAGCAATTTGTAATAGATTAATTTTTATTCAAATATATTTGTTATAATTGTGTATTATGATTAATTGATGTATTTATATTGATTTGTAAAAGATATATAACGGACGAAATTAATTACAAAGATATAATAAAATTATTCCTTGCTTTCACGAAGTTCAATGGCGCAGTTTCGTATAGAAAAATTCAATATAAAGGAGTGCGAGATAGAAGTGTATTTTTCAAAGATGGGATTCATTTTTACAATCGCTACTATAGAGAGGACAAAAACTTGTTTATATTAACAAATATTGGAATAGAAGTTTGTTCAAAATTATCTATTTTGTGTTTACCGAAGATATTAGCTAAACATCATACGATGATATAGTTAAACTTTTAAAAAATTATTACTCGAAGAAAACTAATTTTATGGTGGGGAGATATTATTTTTCCAAAACGGAACAAGGAAAGGGAGAAACTATTACAGAATATATAAAATAAATTAAAGATAAAAGCAAACTCGTGTGATTTTAAAGAGATGATATAATACAATGTTACGTGATAAATTAGTGTCGGGAATTACGAATGAAAGTTAATCAACACTCCATACTTGACAAGGGAAAAAGCTGTTAAAATCGTTAAATCATTGGAGACAACGGAAATGATAACGTATACAAAATTATCTGCAGGAAATGAGATAAATAAATTTTCGAAAACAGTGACAAGGGAGAAGTATGACAATTATTTGTTATTGTTGTGGATTAGAAAACCACATAAAACCAAATTACCCAAATTTAAATGCAATTTGTCATAATTGGTGGCATAAAAGGACATTTACAGAAAATATGCAAGGAATCGTGGTAAGAAAGAATATATTCAACGATAGATGTCCCAAAGGGGCGAGAAAGTTTTAAGGATTGAGATTCTCCATCGCCGAAAAAATTTGAAATGAAATTATAAAATTATTTCTTGTTTTCACGATAATTCAAAATATTTTATTTTTTTCTTAGTTATAATTATATACAAACTCTTGTAACAATTTTAGAAAAATCTGAGGGGGTTGGGTTGAAAATCGTAAAAACCCTCAAATTATTCATTTTGGAATCAGTATCGCTTCAGTAGGGGAAAAAAGCATTCAAAATTAACGTGATTTTTCTTTGAAATTAAAACGAACACTTAAATTTTCCAATATATTCTTAATTTCTAAATGTAAATACAAAGATAAGGTCATACCAACTAATTATGGTGGAAGAATCCGGGTTCGTATACGGAATAGGGTAACCACCGGTTTCGAAAAAAAACCTTCGAATTTCTTCCCTCAAAGAAACTTTCGACGTTAGAGCCTCGAGGTCCGAACGAATGATGGACAGGATTCGACTAATTTCTGCTTTTTTGGACGAGACTTCGCGTTGCAATTGAATGACTGTGATTTCGAATTCCGTTTTCGGCATTGTTTTTGATGTTTTAATTTCAAAGTGGCAAGGAAGGGGGGGGGGAATATAGGGAAAAGCTAAATATTCGTTTTTTTAAAAAAAAATATATATAAATAAATAAATGGGTAATATATGGTATAAATTGTGGTATTTTCTTTTGATTTAAGGAGAAAAAAAATAAGCAGTATGTATCAGAAACACCGATTCACAAATGATATCATTTTTACAATAACAAATATCATTCTAAACTAATGTTGTTAAACGGCCCGATTTTAGCCAAAATAATATTATGTGAGCCTCGGGATTTGGAGGTCCAAACCTATCTGCCACCTATGTGCAAAATCTCCAAATTGACATTATATGTATTTTGGCCAAAATCTTAATCGGGCCGTTTTAAATAAATCGACCCAACTCTGGCCTAACCACATTATTCTACATCTTAAATGCATCATTTAGTATTTTTAAATTGCCCCCCCCCCAATGAAGTCCATAGATCCGACCCGAAGCTAATATTGTTTATATGCAGATAAAAAAAAATTAATAATAAAGGTTTTTTATAGTTTGGGTTGGATGGAAATAATCAATATTTTCTTATTAGAAATGAATGTTCGGAGGGAGAAGCACATTTTTTTTTAAAAAAAATTTATCATCTAAACTAGTGATGTTAAACGGCTCGTTTTGAGCCGAAACGGCTAACTCAATATTTTAGCCAGATAAATATTGCCTAAGTCTCGAGATTTCGCTAATAGATGTCCAAACCTTTGTTCCTTCTGCAGAGAAAATCTCCAAGCTCGCATACTATTCTGGATGAAATAATGAGTTAGCCGTTTTTAAAAATCGGCTCAAAACGAGCCGTTTAACAACACTACCAAACTCCATTTACAAATTATTTTACTTGCAAGTAAAATTTAATAATTCTTCATTTAAGTTTTTATTTTTAAATTGTTAGATTTTTGATGAGTTTTTAAAAAAAATATACATATCGTTATAACTTTCTTTTTAAGCGAAACCTAAAGTGTATTCTAACACCTGTACAAATTATTAGATTTTATGATTGATTTTCTAACAAGTTTTGTATTTTTTTATATTATAATTTTTCGAAGATGATTCCCCCCCCCCGTAAAATCTTTATTTAAAATGTATATACCTATATCAGAGATGAAGATACATTTATTATTCTATTTTGCATTGAGTCATTATAATACAACGAAAAAAAATATCTATTATATAATCGTTTAGAGTAATTATAGATTAATTTAGTCATTCAAAAGGAACCAGATCTATTTCCCTCTTCGATATATTAAATTGTATGTGAGTGAAAGGTTGTAAAAATCATAATTAAAACAAATTAAGCGGCGCGTAATTGTATCAATTACTTGGCTCAGGATAATTGGATCGATATTGATTTTTCAAAAGGTCAAAGAAAATTTTCAACAAGGTGGAGTTGAGGGCAATACGGTGGGATGTTAATAATATTTCTATTATTTAAGGTAAATAAGACGACGGCAAGTCTTCAATTTTATGACTGTAGGTGCTCCACCGATAACTGATTTTTTGCCCATGAATCAATAAAACACATCAAATCTCATCAACGAAACTATACCTATATTAATTATTCACGAGAATTCTTCTCTTTCCGCTTTAACCGGCATAATAAAATAGATTTTTTGAATTCCACAACCAATCAACAAAAATAACTCACCCTTAAATTATGATATATTTATACTCAATTACTAAAAAAAATGACAATTGGAGTCAGGAGGAAATAGCCATAGCCAATAAATGGCTTGTAAACCTGTATATTAATATGCTATATAAAAAACAATGGAGCGTGATTTCAATTTATCCATTAGATCAGTATACATATATAAGCACCGAATATATGATGATCCCTTAACTTGACGATTCTGAAATTAAAATATAAAGTTAATGAATTACTATAATTCAACAATGGATTTCCGACAATAAAAAAAAATAGCCGGCAAAATTTGCCGCATCATCAAAAAAGTGGAAGGGGGGGGAGTATATCTGTTTTGTGCATAGGAATTAGTGATCTCAATAAAATAAGCAATTGTCAATGGAGCGTTAACAGCCATAATATTATTAAAGAGTTATCTGGGCGAATTTATCCATATTGCCACTTAAATCTACTCATAATAAATGGACAATGCTCCTATCCATCATGCCAGATTAATTACTCAAAATTATCGAAATATAAATTACCCCCCCCCTCTTTTCACCATATTCCCCACAGTTCATGAGTGTTTAAAAAAATATATATAATTCCAATTTATATTTATTCATCACATTCACATCTTAAAAAAATACGCTACCAATTAATTTATGAAATAATATCGATTTCAAATTTTCCTTGGAGAAATAATTTTATCTAAACTTCTCACCAAATAATTTGAAACTTTTTCACTGAAAATTAAAGTTAACTATTCTCAAAAAAATGGACACTACGAGAATAGCTAAAAGCATTTTATCGAAACTTAAGGAAATTAGGGCAAATATATAGATGACAAATTTCATAAATTATATGTAATTGTTGAGTCAAAGGCAGAGCTCTATGAATTTAATATTTGTCTACCTCGAGTCACAACAAAGCTATAAAACAAATTTCTTTATCCCCTTTCGATATTTTTATAACTCAAATGAATGAACGATTCTTGCTTAATCAGGCAGCACTCACAACTGCAAATTTTATTACCGCAGAATCCTGCCGAATCTAGTTCAAATCTTAATAGAGAAAAAAAATAAAATAATGACAGATTTTTATTGGCCTGGTCCTATCGGTCTTAGAAAGACCGCACCGATCTTTTTCTTGAGGTCCACCCGGACCAGGGACCAGTCTTTTATTAATACTTAAGTTTGCTTTTTTTGTTTATCCGGCCTGGTGTTTTATGTTTAAATTATTTTTTTTAACTATCCCAGGAAAATATTACTATATTTTGCAAATTGTTTTAAAAGGGAAATTGAAAATATGAACAGTAAATTAATATTAGCGTTCATTATATGATTTTCGAAATGATTAAATTGATCTAACCTAATAAAAATTTTGAGGAGTGGTATTCTGCTAATACAAATCCATCAAAGACATTTACACATTTACAAAAATGATATAAAAATTTACAGACAAATATAAAAGATGTATGATGACACGATTCAATTATATTAAATTTGCATATTACTGGTCCCACTGACTGTCTAACTTACCCAATTTTCAAACATTTTTTTGCATTGGTCTATTAACAATCATGTCTTAAAGCTCGAAAGATAAACTCCAATAAAAATGCCTTATCTTCTTATCATTACTTAAAATTTCCATTATTTCCTTATTCTATACAAAAATATTTTATATGATGACACAATCATTTTATAATTTTTGTTTAATAGAAGCTTATTGTTATTATAACCAGGGTAGCCAAACCTCCTAATTTTTTTATGCTTGTTTATACCAAACCAGTCATCTATTAATTTAAACTTTCTCCCAATTTTTTATAAAATATAATAATAATATATAGGGTTTCTCAAATTTTTAATATAAAAATTGGTTTAACCAAAAACTAGCAATTCTACGTATTTGAATATTATTTTAAAAAATTTTCATTTTCATCTTTTCTATTTTATTTCAACAATTTAAATTATAAATAAATTACAGATTTAAAGAAATGTACAAGATCAAATAACTTTAAATGCAATATCTAAACACCTAAAATTCCATTATTAATGGATTAAAGAAGATAAACAAAATAGCTGAAATACAATTAGCATAATATACTATATAAGATTTAATATCAGACATGGAGTCCATGATATGGCAAAGATTTAATGAGACAAAAATATATATCTCCAATTTAAAAAATATCAAACAATAATTTATGTAGTGATTTACTGATCCAAAGTCTCATTCATATCAAACAATAAATGGATTTATTATTTTTCTATGCATTGCATTGCACAGTTATTGTCTATTCTCCATAAAATTCAGGAAATCTTCAAAAATAGTTTTGAATATTATGGCCCCTGCTATTAAGAGACATATTTTAGAGGATTTGAAGGAAAATAATCCATTTTCTTTATTAAAGGATGACTTGAATGATGGAAATACCAAAATCTTCATAATAATTATGTGCTATTTTAAGAGGTAGTAGTTTCAAGTAAACTTCTAAAAAAAAATTATTGAACTTGGAGAAATCGAAAAAAATATTAAATTCTTGCTTGGTAGAATCTTTATTTTAAAACAAAAATTAAAGATTTAATTAATAATATAAAATCTAAAATATGGAGTTTTAGTTAAATTCTTCCATTTTTTGTTTGAAAAAATCTGGCAACCCGGTTATAACTGTTAATTTTTTAAAATTAAATAGTTTATACCTCATTGAATTTGAATTTATCATTAATATTTTAATAAATTTTTTGTCTCTTCTATAAAATTTTAAAAATATTAGAAAGTTTTGCAGTGAGAGTGATATGTAATGCATGGTAAAATATTATCTGATTTTTTTTAAATTGCTAGGCATAAATTAAGATTTAAGTTAACTAATTTTATATAATATATGTCATAAGTGAAATAACCTAATTTAATTATGTTAAATTGTAAATAAAATTAATTTCAATAAATTATATTAATAAATTGTATATTAAAATATGTAAAATTATCTTAATATTTATATCAAGATATTGAAAAAAGTGAAATTTCTTAATCAATTATATTAAGAAATTATATATCAAATTTGCTAAATTATTTTTACCAATAAATAAATGATCAACATTATTTGATCAAGGAAGGTAAGGTTCTGCCAGAAAATAGTTTACTTTACCCTTACCCCTAGCTAATGATGATATACCTACCCACAGAAAAAAAATAAGGAAATAAATCAAAATTAACAACAAAGTAAATATAATAAAATGCCCCCTTCCACCCCATTAATACTCTTGACAATCTCATCTACTAAACTCCATATTCCCTTCAATTTCTATGCCAATCTTGTCTTATAACCCCCCTCCTGTAACAGTATCATGTAAATCATTTTATTTGAATGAACTTCTCAATTTAAAAAAATATATTAATTTTCTTAGGTTTGTTCACATTCCTTAATAAATTAATATTGCCTATAGATTACTATCTCGATGAAATATTTCATTGTTAAATTAGTTAATGATCCTGTTTATTATAATATATTTACATAAATAAAAATTAGAATGGCATAAAAACTTCCTCATATATTGTATTTACATTAAGATTTCTGCATTTATTTAAAAAAATATTAATATTCTATTTGCTATTAAAAATAAATTTAAATAATGTTTTACTCTAAACGAATTTTTGTTTCAAATGTTCCATAAACATTATAATTTTTAAAATTTTAAATGTTTCGATTCGAATTTACAAAGCAGCAAAATTTTAAGATAATAAAAATTATTTCTAATTCTTAATTTAAGTAAATTATAGCAATCTTGCATTAAAAGTTTTTTAAAAAAGAGTTATAAATATTTTAATTTTGAGTCATAAATTCCAATTCGATGGCATAAGTGATGTACTGGACCCGTTTCTCACAGTTCGTGCAAACCGTTTGTTAAATTTTTACAATGCAACAAAATGTTAATTAGGATTGAATGCAATTCTAAAAATATAAATATAATCTTTTAGGCTCCCAAAATTTAAATTAAAAAATATACATAAATATAATATCGGATTTTAAAAGTAATATTTTTTCCGATTTTTTGTTAATAAATAAACAATTATTAAGATTAGCAAGAAATGTCTATATTACTTGATGCCTTGCAATCAAGATAGATTGATTTATTTAAAATTGTTTTGTGGAAGATTTTTCAAGTTCTAAATTTCGAGAATGATATCTAAGCAAATAAAACATGTGTCAAATATAATGATCAACTTGTATCTACTTTTTTTAAATTTAGAAATAAGTTTTCTGTTTAACCCGAAATAAATTGCCAGAAAAGGTTATCTAGAGCATGAAAAGAAGATTGCTAAGTAACAGACACTCATAAAAGCTGCAAATACTATTTGTAATTGTCCTAGTTTTTGATCAATATTATTAATGTTTATATAAATTATAATTAGTAGATTAAAATGTTTTTATTTTTTGTAATTGATCAACATATTGTTGATTGGTTAAAAAAAAAATTATGATTTTTTTTCTTTCACATGGATAATTGATATTTGACTTATGATTTTATATTTTTTTATATAGTTTTTGTAAAGAACTGGAAATTATTTTAATTAAAAAATGGAATTTTTTGTTTGTTTACAGAATTTATTTTTATTAGATTTAAGAAATTAGTACTAATAAGATTGAGATTAATATCATTAAACTTTTTATTTTATTTAGTTATAGTTAAACAAATAAGTACGGAGGAAGTTAAGATTATTATTTGGTAATAATAATGCAGAATTCCGTTTAATGAAAATTTTTTCATGCAACTTACAAACTTAATGTAAAATAACCGATTTGTTTCTTCATAAACTATTTAGTAACTTTATCCTGATAAGTCGTAGCAAGTATTTGGATTTTGCTAGGAGGGGTAGGGACTAGAGGTCTGCATTGGGCGGAGTTTCGGCCCGTTCGTCTACGCCAGACCATCTAAGTGGGCCGTCAGATGGGCAGGTAAAAAAAATTTTCAAGAATGGGCAGGCGGACGGGTTAAAAATAATTTTGAAACTATGGGCGGGTGGGTGGGCGTGTTAAGAAATTTAAACAATGGGAAGGCGGGTTAAAGAAATTTAAAATTTTTGTTCAAAAACAAACTAAAGAAAAATCATAATTATTTAAATGATCAATAACAATATTCCTTTTTTTATTGTACCAATTTATTTTAAGTGAAGAACACTTACTTAACTATATTATGTAATAAACACAACAATAAAACTTTTTTCTTAAAAAAATAACTTTTTTATCTATTAAAAATTAGATTTCCTTTTATTGGAATGTAATAAAACTTTTTTCTTAAAATTTCTTTTTTTGGGTCAGCAATCTGAATTGTATTATTTTATTTTAGTAATAATTGTTTATCTTTATAATTGCCATTTTCGTTTTTATTTTATTATATAATAAATAAATATTATTTTTTATAACATAATTTTTAATAAAAAAAATTTTTTAATTAAATTTTTATTTTAAAATAATATTATGAAAAAAGAAAATATATCTAGAAAAATAAAAAATATTTTTACAAGTTAAAATATAATAAATCAGACAACTCAAATCTTCAATGTGGAAACAATTTTAAATCACTTTCGATGAAAATAACAAAAACTAGATTGGATTCGCTGCAATGATTACTCTATCTATAAATATATATAACAAATGGCACATCCTTTTTCCTTCGGCATCAATATTCACTTTTATTTAAAGACACTTGAGGAGAGGATATACTTCAAACGGATATCCTATTTGGCGGTAACTACAAGAAAGAGATTTGCCAAAGCTATCAAGATTAGCAAGAAAAATATTGGCAATTACTGCAACTAGTGCTTCTTCTGAACGAGGATTTAGCATTGCTGGAAAGTTTTTAGAACAAATAAGAACGTGTTTGAATCCAGATGTCGATTCATTATTATTTTTTCATTATAATTACATATAATACCAATTTTTTATTTATATTTTTTCATAAATATTATATTTGATCAAATAAATTGTCCATAATTTAAATTAATTATTTTATTTTATCCTTAAAATAATTTCCTAAATTATAAAAATTTTAAAGTGTAATGCTGTAATATTTTTAAATTGAAAGAATGGCCATAATTAAATTAATTAAGGATTAATTGTTTTTTTTATAAATAATGGGCGGGCGGGTAAAAAATTTTAAACTAATGGGCTGGGTGTGCGGGTATCTATATTTTTGATAACTATTTAGCTGGGCGGCAGGGTTAAATTTTTTTAAACCAATGCAGACCTCTAGAGGGACTATTAGGTTTTTTTCATAAAAAGGTTTATGGATATCTTTAATATCACTAGCACACCATTGGCTATATCACATTTTTAAAAATATTTGTTTTTTTTCTAAGAATAATGAATTAGTCATTATTACATTATTCTAAAATAAATTTTAAAAATATTAAGTTTGACTTAATCGGTTGGTTATATATCAATAGGTATAGGTCAAATCAAAATATTTTTTAGGATAATGCTTAACAATCAAATCGCGTATTAAACTAAAATAAATATTTTTCCATGGATAACGCTGGCAATGCATTATTTAGTTATTGGGCAGGTTACGAGTTGGTTATCGGCCAAATCACGATATTTTTAAATTATTTTTGGGATAATGTTTTACACGTATTTATAAATATATAAAACAATAATGAACAATAACAAATTTGATCAATCTTATATTTAGTAAGTGGTCGGTTTTGAGTTCGGCAATCGGTCAAATCAAAAATTTTAAGATTTATTTTAGGATAATGTTATACATGTAAATATAAGTATTGGAAACAAAAATGAATAAATTTTGATCAATAACCCTAGCAATATGTGCATTACAAGTTTTCTTTTATTTTTCGATTCTAAACCTACTCAATGTTAAAGAAACCTATCATTTTATTTTAATTTTTAGGTTTCCACATGTATTACCACATATAAAAAAGCACTAACTAATAATCCTTCGGGAAATGATATTTTCATATTTATGCATTTAACGCCCTCTTATGGATATATTATTATATTTTCTTCAAATTGTAGTTTTACTTGTTCGACATTTTTATTAATCCTAATTTATTATCAAAGCCGTAGCAAATTCTTTATTTAGTTTTTCAATATTCACGTTACCATTATCATTATTATTATATTTATTGCTGATTATATTGACTTTACCATTATTGGTTTCGATAGATCAAATTCTATAGTCCATGGAAATTTAAATAGTGCTGCATCATTTGTTTTTGTAACTAATAACGGAAGCCATTTAATTTTATCATCTAATTGTACTTTTACATGAGCTTCACCCATAATTTTTATTATATTGTTTCCATATGTAGTTGAACCTCAAACCATTCTAGGTTTTGACCTCCCTATTTTATTCCATATTGTTGCATTAATGATGATTACTGCGGAACCTGTTTCATATTCCATTTTAATTTAGTGTTTTTTTATTATTACCATAATTTTCTGTCCATATTTGTAGACTTTTCTTATTGAGAAATTTGAATCGTCGTCGTTACTATTGTAATTTGTGCCGTAAACTTTTCCTCTAGCTTTACAAACACACTGCAGTGTGGTTTGATTTCTTACATTTGTTGCATTTTTTTCTGTATGTTGGACAATTCCAAATAGCATGAAAACGATTAATAGCACACTTTTTTGTATAATTATTACTTGTGTGGTAGATTATAACCTTGCACTGGTTTACTTTTTATGTATATTTTATTTTCATTTTGATAGTGTCGATTATCATTATCATTTTAATTTAATCGTTTATTATTGTAATTATGTTTAGTCGTCTTTTGATTTTTTAACTATGTTAGTAGTATTATTTCTTTCTAAGTCGGCCCGTTCCATCGCTAAAGCCATTTCTATAATCATGTTTAAGCTTAACGGTTGGTCTTCATCTCTAGTATCTAGGTATCTTAAATGTAGTTCTTTATCTAGTTGTGATATCTTTCCAGCTATTAATTGATCGCCAATTCTTAGATATATATTATCTTCAAATTCGTATTTTCGGGCTAGTTTCTTTATATTTTTTAAATAACTCAATAGGGATTCTGTTGTTCCGTGACTTAATCGAATCAAATCCATTCTCGATGCCAAAACAGTTCTTTCGTCTTTATATAGTTGTTTTGCAATTTTGCATAGATCTGCCCATACCACATCATCAATTTTTCTTGGAAATAGTAATTTTTTTATATCAGTTATAATATTTATTTCTCCAAAAGCTATGAATGATTTTTTCAAAGTAGCATCAGTTTGAGGAATATTCTTTACATTAAGCATATTTTTAGTAATCTACATAGTTGTCAAGAGAGCATTCTTCTTTTTTGAATTTATTAATGTAATTTTTTCCATAATTTAACTCTATTTAATATTTAACTTGACCGTAGACCACATTTTTTTTTATTTCGTCGTCAAATTTTATAGTCAAAACCATTTGTATCTTTCATTTAAATTCTTATCTAAAAGTATTCCATAATTATGTAATTTAACTTCTAATATTATGCATTTAGTTTGACAATAATATAAAATTAAACGTGGGAAAGTTATAATTGTATGAGAAATATAATATTCAAATAGCGTTATATAATTTTATAAAATATAACAAAAATATGTCAAATTTAATGTAGTTATCAACTTGAGTCTACTTTTTAAATATAGTTTCACATTTAACCTGAAATAAATTCAAAAAAAGTTATCGAGAGTAAAAAGAAG